AAAAAAAAAAAAAGAAAAAAAAAAGATGCTTAATTAAATAACAGTTTCATTCCTCAAATGTATTTATACACAGCAAAATTCTCCAGAAGACGAAGTGAGAGTGAGCGGGGCACTGATGTGAGAGGACGTCCAAACACTCGAGTCTTTGCTGTCGTCCTGAGTCACAGCAAGATTTATCTGAGCCGGGGGAGGGGGGGGGGGGTTATTTCAGGGGAAAGGGCCTCAGCCAAAAGTGCTGAACTGTAAAGAAGCCCGCCGCTCACCAGAGCCGCTGTGAGGAGGGACACACACAGAACAGTCTGATTGAACTTTATTTATTGAACGAACTGGATGTAAACAGGTGCATCCCTCCACTCGTCACAGCAGCAGTGAGGCGGCAACGACCGAGGCGAGAGAAACCGAATTCTGAACTTCGCAGCTGCTCCGGGTGCAGTGGCGTCATTGGCGAGTTAAGAGGGCAGCTGGGCGGGGCTGTGTGAGATCACGGAAGCAGGGGGGAGGGGGGAGGTGAAGGGTGGCGGGTTTTTAACTGCGGGGCAGGCTGCACATTTCACAGTGCTCTGTGCCGGGCTGGTTCATGAAGGTGCAGTGGAGGCAGGACCACATGGCTGAGGAGGAGGCCGGGACTGAGGGGCCCCCCATGGCCCCGTAACCCAGAGAGCTGGAGGGTTGCCCGCCCACCGTACCTGAAACACACGAGACGGATTACAGGATGTGTGAAAATATCAGAGGCAGTATCGTGTGTGTGTGTATTCAACGAGCTGCCGATGTTCAGTTCGATCTGTGTCGTGGTTGTTCGGCAGCGACTCACTGCACAGCTGCTCGATGGTGGCCCACTGCTCAGACTTCTTCCAGGTCTGCGCCAGATCCTCGTTAGAAGTCTTCACTGCCTCGAGTAGCAACCCGATGCTGTCCTGCAACAAACGGGAAGCGCAAACAAAATCATCAACCCGCTCCAACGGCGACAAGTTCAGGAAAGTGAAGAGAAACAAAAAGCCTGAGCACATCTGATCAGGACGCTCAGCACAGAAATCTGAGTTTTATTCTCTTTTTTTCCCGAATCAAACAAACTTGTGATCGTCACGAGAGGCCAGTCTGACAATCTAATGAACAGAGGGTCTGAGTGAAAACATCCTCACACCACTAACCACTTCCAGACCGAGGGGGAAATGTGGTCGTCTACGTGTTCCCACTGAAAGAGCAGAGGAGGCCTTGAAGTGCTGACTTACTCTCAGAGGCATGACTTCATTGGTGACGAGGAAGAGGAGCAGATGGAAGTCGGACACGATGTCCAGGAAAGCCGTGGAGGTGCTCTGGGACAGGTACGTCGCTAAACTGTGGAAGTCCTGCACAGACACACGCAACACAAAACAAGATGTGTAACTTCCTCCGACCTCGCAGAGGTTTGGAAAGATGAAGCTATTTTGGTCCGCTGAACTGGAACTGGTGCTTCAGGTCGAAATACAGACATGAACTTGTACTGCGTCTGCTGCAACCATGAGGGTGTCAACAATCAGTTACACAAAACACGTGATGAAATGGTTACAGCCTTCAAGTCGTGTGTGTGTGTGTGTGATCTCCCGTCTCTCTCTCTCTCTTACTTGTGTCTCTCCGAGTATATCGCGGTTCTCGATGGGGAAGTGTTGTTTGGAGCAGAAGGTGAACTGAGGATCCTTTGGAAAAGTGGTGGTGATCTGGAAAAGGTTAAAAAAAGAAAAAGGAAATTAGACTAAATGCTTGCGTTGAAACATACGTGTGTTTAGTATGTTTAACACCAAACGTACTCACATCTATAATAAGATACTCCACAGGAAGAGGCCGAGCGAGAAACGTGACATCATTTCCAAACTTGTCCGTGTCCTGATGGACGGAGACAAGTTGGATTCAAATTAAAATCTCAACATCTGAACACAAACATCTGGAGAAACTGAGTCATGACACCTGGCCCACAGAGTCTGCATGATATTACACAGCTCAGACGTGGAGCAATGATTGTTTCTAATGATCATTAAAATATTACACCCGCCACATGTTTGAGATCGTACCTTGAAGAAGACGTCGGGGACGTACTGCTCGGGGCTCGACTCTTTAGCGTAGCCCAGCTCTGGAGCGTCTTTGCAGGGCAGCAGACACTCGTCTCTCACCAGAGCCATGCACTGATTGGACACCTGGTATCCTTCAAAGTGCACCTGGTTATCTGGACTCCCTGCAGACACAGACACAGACGGATGAAGTCGTCTGCTGGAGGACGAGTAAACTCACTGGTGATTTCACTGTTGAGACCAGTTTGATTGGACAAACATATGAAAGTCCGTCGTTTAGACATGTGAATGTTTTGTTGTTTGTTTAATCATTTATTTCGTCTTGAAAACCCACAACTGTTGAAATGAAGGACGGTGTGATCATCAGCAGCAACACAGACGAAGTCAGTGAGAGAATAAAGCTGAAGGAAATCTATGAAAAAACTAACAAAGAAGTTTAGCGCATGACGACGTCATTAAACAATTATTTCGTCCGTGTCACTGAGTATTTCAATCGTCTGCCTCACACATGCAGCTCATTTGCAAACACACCACGTCTGTACTCAAGGGAAAGTAGACGGATGGACTTTGGCCCCGGCTGGAATCACATGTGTATCATGACATCAGCTTTGGCTGCCAGAGCCTCATTAATGCAACCGACCGTGATGAGGTCATCACACCGCCTTGTGCTTTTGTGCACTTGTGGAACAAATGTAAGCGATTTTGTGCGTTTAGAACAGAAGAGTAAACACTTGGCGTTGATTCCACAGAGATTTGTCCTCGGAGAACATGTGGCTTGAGTTACAGCGTTTCTTCGGCCTCTAAATTACAACGCACACAGAGTGGATATTTGAGAGGAATGAAAATAAAAAACCGACAGGCACCTGACAAACCTGGACTGAGTTAAAACATCTGTAAAGTACAAATAGGTGGTTAATAAGAAACGAAGCTGTGTTTTTAAATAACATGCAGGGATTCTGCAGGTTTCAATAAGTTCAACTTTTTCAGACATAAATGAATTAAACTGACCGTCTATGTCAAGTACGACTGACATGAAGGAACATCAGAATTATTTACAATATATCTGATAATATCTGTATCATTAGGAAAGAACTAAAACACACGAAGAGATTAAAAATGATGCTGATATTTGACTGTAAAATTAAAGCAGCTAAAAAATAAAACACAATAACAAGCAACACACGTGATCTTGACAAGAATTGTAACATCAGCCTCAGAGTGAACGACACCTCACCTGTCGCCAGCGCCGTCACAAATTTGGATCCAAAATGTCCGTCTCGAGAGAGTCTGCAGGGGTTCGAGTGTAGATTCTGGAAGTAGCCTGCTGTGATGCACTCCTCTGCGCTCAGGTAGTGTGAGTCCTGACAAGAGAGAGAACAATGATCAGCCATGGAGGAGGAGGTCAGGATGTTAGTCCGAGGAACAGGCTTCATCCTCACCTGGTTTCTTGTGTAGCGGACAGTGCCTATCCTCGTATCCTCAGAGAGCAGGTCTGTGAAGATCCAGCCAACCTGGAAAACACATTCAATCAAGTAGTTCGGTTCATTTTCACGCATCACCGGTGGCATCAACGTTCACATAAAGACTCAAGACGGAGTATTGATAGTAAACTGAAAGTGTCTGATCCAAGCACAGCGGTCACATCAGTGTAACGAGTCTGATAACGAGACCAGAGCAGAGATATTTAATGGGATGAAGGATTTGGTGTCAAAGTAAAAAGTAGAAGTTCCTTATTCGTATTTCAGCTTTAACCTAATACTTAACAGGCGAACTGAGAACATGAATTATTGCATCTATAACCTTTATCTAAATTTATATCTTCACGTGCAGTGTTACATGTCTCAACCAGTGGACAGCAGAAGACAGAAGAGCAAGGTTTACATTCGCCCATCGGACCTTAACATTTCACATATTCAAGCACTAGAGGCCCATAAAAAACAGATCGCTTCACTTGAGGTCCTCTGGTTGAAAGCGTTCAACATTTTCTGAATAATAAATCTAGTCCACGGCTTCGATAATGGGCCTTAAAAACCATAAATCTGTTTGAAACTTCTGCCAACACGCAAGTGTGGAAACACGATATGAAAACCCAGCTTGTCTAAAGCCAATGAGAGACGGTGTGAAAAGGAGCCGCTGAAGAAAAGAAGGCCGACCTTGCACAGGCCCAGTTTGGCAGCAATTTCATCCACAGCTGCAGCTTTGGGATCCTCCAACATTTCCAGGCTGTTCTGGGTGGCATTCTGTAACACGGAAAAAGAAAAGGGTCTTTAATGCACCTGCAAGGAAAACTCTTAAAAAGGTTGAAGACATGAAAGGATGAATTACGAGAAACAAAAATAGAATAATAGACAGTTAGTGACGATACTAATATGTCATGATGTTTAATGAGAATCTCTCACCTGTGGAGGTTCGTAGATGGCAGCCACCTCAGCTCTGATGCCCAGCGGGATGTCTTTGTGCTCAGTGTACTTGCCGTACAAGTATCCCATCCTCTGACTGCCCGTCTTCCTCCAGAAGTCCAGGAAGCGGTTGGCAATGGTGTGGTTCTCAAACATGATGTTATCCACGTGTCTGTATTTCTGTAAGATGAACAGAATTCAGGACTCGGGACATTTTAAGCCATAGCTCCAAACATCAGCTAAGATTTGAATCTGTGTTTATTCAATCTCCAGCTCATCAGGCCAGCGTCTTACTTCGTAGCCCACTACCATCGACCGGATCATTAGAAACTCACAGGAATGTTATCTGAACAACAAAAAGACTGACACTCCCTTCTTTTAAGGAATGTCGTCTGGCGTCACCATCCTCACACGAGACAGTCGCAGTCCACACGTCTTGTTTTTGTTTCCTCGGTTGAAGAATGAGTTGCCAGACACGTTTTAGAAATTATAAAACTGAAACGATCTCTGTCCACACGTTTTAGCTGCACATCAGTAAGTATCACTGTCACATCACATTACGAGCATGTCACGTGGTGCAAACAGGAAGCAGATTGTCTACTCGGCAGCTTGTTGCTTAGTTACAGAAAATAATATGAACGAGGGACAGCGATGGTGAAAAGACAGAGCAGGGATTAATTTTCTTGGATCGACGAAAACACTACTTTTTAACGGTTTGCTAAAAATGATGAACTGTATTTTGTGTATTCGCTGAGCTTCACGGCCACAGACATGCAGGTACAGTTACATACCTGTCTGTTCAGTGTGATCGCGCTGGGCTGGCACTTAGTGCAGATCCCCTCTGGCCACGGAGGGTGGCCCTCACAGCCTGACTTGATCTTACAGCTGATGTTCTCCAGAGCTGCAAACTTCCCTCTGCAGGACGTGAAAACACACTTAGAAGCTGGAAAAGAAAAGAGATGGAAGCATTTCTATTGGAAGAATAAAAACCACTCCTCACTTATCAGCTCCACCGGTCAGCTTGCGAAGGTAAGCATGGAATGACATGTGCTTCACTGGTGGGTCGAGGTGATTCAGGTAGTCTTCGTCAAAAGGCTGAAAAAGAAAATAGGCAAATACTCAGCAGGTTAAAACTGTCTGATGGTAATGGCGTTAGCTTGAACATCTTTCTGACTCTTCTTACCTCTAACGGTACACAGTGCACACATTTTCCAAGAGCACCGTGGCGACATCTGAAACAAGATGAGAACTGTTAGAGATCTGAGAGAAACGCTTCACTATACATACAACACAGGGACGTCTCTTCCTTACAATTGAGGATCTTTGTTCCTGTAGATCTTGCCGTCTTGCTTGGTCAGATACTGATCAATTTCATCCTCCTGGACCTGGGGTGCTGAGAAGGACCGAGGGATCATGGTGGACGATGAGGAAGATGACAAGACGGACGGTAGCGATGAAGATGTGTGCGGGGTGGCCGTGTCCATCACCTCTCCGGAGGAGCTGGAGGAGCCTGAAGGGAACAGATACAACATGTCGCCATGCCTGAAGAAAATAAAGAGAAATGAGATGATTAAAGCTTCACCAAAGATTATCGACAAACATAAAATTAATGGCAAAGAAATTTAAATTAATAAATAAGTTCACATACATTAATTAACATGAAATAACCATTAATTTCTATCACTATTTGACTAAATAGCACATTTGAAAATCAAACGTAGTGTTTCTAGAAGCATGTAAACTACGAACTTAATTTGACAATAAGACTTTTAAAAAACTTCCCACATCTGACTCTGATTGTTGGAGATGAGTTTGTAATAAACATTTGCTTTTACTTACTTGATCTTAAGCAAGCTGAGGGTAACGTTCTTGGACAGAATCTCTCCGGTCTTGTTGCGGTTCAGGTAAACAGAAAACCCATTGGAGTTGAACCCAAACTCTGTGGCCACCTGAGGGAGAAGTAGATGGAGTGACCTGATTAGAATGAGTGAAAACACTCTCACATCAACCGAGAATCAAAATACCACCTTCTTCAGAAACATGACAGGAAACACTTCACACCAGCACCTTGTGTCAAGTGTGTCCATCTCAGAGCAGATTAGCAAAGAGCCTCTTGGCACGAGAGCACCTCAGCTTGTAAGAACACCTCTTATAGTCACAACACTTTGAGCCAAACTAAGCTATTAAGAGCAGTCTGAGCTGGACGGGTTTGACATTACATCTAAACATCACGACAGCCTGATGCTGATGAAGTGCTTGCTCTTCATCACTTTAGATTTACTGAATTAATCAGCCATTAGTGATCTCAGAGAGCAGAACTGTTGACATTGGAACAGGACAATTATCTTGGCATTCAAACTAATCCACCAATGACTGAGTGGGAAGTTGCATTTTAAATCATTTTGGACTTTGTGGAACAACGCTGTGTGTATTTTTGCTTCTCTTTCAGTTTGGTAAAACTAAGCAGGGAACAGTCTTTGAGCATTAAATCATTATTTTTCTTCAAGCCACACAAAGAACAGTGTGAGATGCTATCACTGTGCGCTGGTGAAACTGAACACTGTGTGTTTCACAGAGCACCGCGCTCCTTTCATTCTGTCTAAGCAGCAGAAACATAACCTGCAGGGCTCCGGCCTCTCTGCTTCATACCCGTGGTTTTCCATTCCACCCGTCGCTGGCTGCACATCAGCAGGGACTGAAAACTACTCTTCCATTGATCTGCAGGCTGAACCATTCTGCCTCAACTCAGACACATGCATTTTTAATGAGGTGGTACTGGAATTTTCCATTCTGACAGTTCTGCTGAATTATGCTTCTATTCCAGGTTATTCAAAAAACAAAAACCTAACCTAATGAGTAACTACATATTTATAAATCATTTGTGTTTATTATCCTGTGTAGGACTAATGTCTTGGCTGTAAACTGTGCAGATGTGATGAGAAGAGTGAATCCACTACATTTCCTTTTCATCAAAACTCCACTGTGTGTGACAGCAGTGTTTGTAGCACAGTTAATAACAGTGTAAATGTTACAGGTGAAGAAATGGATCCAAGAACTCAGGGTTTGAGAAGATCTGATGGATGTTAACACTGGTTACAGGTAGTTGTCTGAATAAAAGCAGAAACTTTATAGTTATGATAATCATACATCTTACCGGACAAATCTAAACAGGCTACGTGTCTTCAAATACAAATAATCCCCCAACTCTGGTTTCACTTGTATAGACACTGTTTGTTGTTCTCCATCAAGATTGCAGATGTTTTTAATATCAAACATCTGTTTCAGGGCAGCGTGGTGCAGTGATGGGCACCGTCACCTCACAGTGAGAAGGTTTATGGTTTGAATCCCCCTGCGACTCTTTGATGGCCCTTATGAAAAGGCACGTGTCCACTTCTCTGAGTGTGGACGTGGGTGAAAGCGGCACATTCGGGGTTATCGGTGACCGTGGGGATTTATCACTGTACCTTATTCAAAAACGCATCAGCCGTCTCCGTCTTGGTCGAAGGGATCTTCTTCATCCCGCTGGGGGACTGGACCCTGATGATCTGATGGGACAAAGACAGAAGGGACAACGTGAAACACCAGCTGGTTCTCTGTGGTCTGGACACATCTCGAATAACATGACCCCCCACCCCCACCCCCACCCCCACCACCTGCCAGTCAAAACAAGGGACCCCCCCCCCTGTGTACAGTCAGGACACGATGACAACGATGACAGAGCAGAAAACTAAAGTTGACGTCGGCTCATGATCCTCACACCGAGCAGCCGAGGACGTGACGGTGCTAAAACCCAACCCCGCTGTCTGTCACTGTCCCGGGGGGGACATGAAAATAACAGTCTCACTGAGTCAACACCTCCACGACTTCCATTAAACCCTTCGAGCACATTCCAGCTGTTGTTGGACCGATGAGCTAAACAAGCTAACGGACACCACGGGCACTTTCAAGCCGGACACCGACGAGGTTATTGCGGCGTCGACGTTTGCAAACAAAGCCTCTCTTCACTCGGATGTCGACAGCTGACCACGGAGCTAAGGTTAGCCGGCTAGCTAAACAGGCCCCAGTCACTCTGTGCTAGTGATGCTAGCCTGCTTAGCGTTAGCAGCCGAGCTAATTCTGCTGCCTCATCACTCCGCGCTCCGGGCTAAGCTAGCGGGTTAGCGCGAGGGGAGGCGGCCGCTGGACTCACCATGCTCTCCGCCATGTCGCTCCGGTCACTTCTCCCGACTGATCTCACGGTGGTGGCGGACACACGCAGCGAGCACAAGGGTCACGTAGCGTCAGAGTCTGGGAGTCAACGAAACTCCATCACACACCGGGTGCAGCAGACATTGGTGGCCGACTGTTTGACACCGGTCCCACACTGAAACAACCCCGACCGAAACAAGACGTATTTTCACCTGAAAACAAACGTTCCGTCTTTTTTTCTTCTTCGCTGCAGTTCATAAAATGTGAAATTATATTTTGAGCAAAGGAAGAAGAATAAAGAATCATTTATTCTGCCATGGTTTTCTGTTCGACTTTTTACAGCCTTCTGAAATGAGCAGTTTAAAAATTCAACTTGAAACTCGAAGAATATTTTGTCTGAAAGTGAAAAATAGATTTCAGGAAAAGAAATAAATAAATATTATCATAGTTTGAATAAGACCGACAGGCTTTATAGTGAATTTGATCACACAGAATATAATAATTATGTTATTCAATATATATTGTTCATCACACAAATTATAATTAGAGCATTATATATATTTATTATAACAAGATATGATTTTATAGAATATTATTATGATGGTTTGAATAGAGCACAGATAGATAGAGAGACAGACAGAGAGATAAATAAATCACTGTTTCTATTTTCCTCTTTTTATGTTTTATTTTTTCCCTCAACCTGTAGAGAGGACAAAGCTCCATCATCTCTTCAGACCTGTGTGCTCTCAAACATCCCGCTCATCCCAAGTTATCAATGTGTTTGTTACTGTACAAAAAAATAAGAGCGATGACGTCAGGATCACAGAAGTCACATCACGAACTGAGAAGCTACATGCAACTCAATGTGTGAATGGACTTTGTGTCTACAGCCGATTAGTAACTGTCTCTAACACAAACACGATGACGGGGACGACGACAGAGGAGATTAAACCAAGAAATAAAAAGTCAAAAATATGTGACGATGGATGAAAGATGAAGGAAATAAAAAGTATAATCCTCCACTGTACGAGATAACGACAAATGAGAGCGACAACAATGAGCGCAGCAACACAAACATATACACACAGGTTGAAATTATGAGAAATAAACACGTGATAAACATAAAATACTTTCATACATTAATATCATACAAGGGAGAGGGAAGAGATGTGAAACTAAGTGTAGAAAATAGTGAACCTGCTCTAAGATGGTTTCTTGTTTAGTATATTAACAGAAAATTTAGAGGTTACAAGGTGAAGAACACGTTTGTATCCTGGTGACGGTGGGTTCAGTTAAAGTTTGGTCAAAAAAGAAGCAAAAGAGGGAAATCTGATGGTGAGTGATTCATCTTATCGCACTGCTGTCTGCTCTCTCTACAGAATATACAGGCTTTATGTTTAATATGTCGAAGCACATGAAGTGGGAACCCACCCACGTTCACGGGTTTGTCACTTAAACTCAATCTGAGGCTGCCTCGCTTGTGTAAGTTTCATGCTTTGTCCATGAGAGGAAGAAGAAATGAGGAAGAAGAAGAACAACAGCAAGAGAAGAGAGAGACGGACGCAACTGTGCAGATCTACAGAAGTCATGAGAATCAGGACAGATCCTAAACATGAGCAGCACTGATTGTGAGAACTGCAGAGTCAGAAAAAGAATCCAGGACAGAAAGTTCATGTTTTTTTGTAGAAGTTTTTTTCTTTTTCCATTTTTTTGTTTGTTACAGTTCGTCGTGGACGTTTGTGTGGAACAGTTCCATTTGAAGCTGGGAGACGGAGCCTGAGGCAAATGGTTTGAGGCCTGTAACCCGTGGAGGATTGCAGGGAGGTGCAGGAAGGCTCAGATGATACCGTACTGGGCCAGCTCATGCAGCTCCAGGTGATTGAAGGCCTCCCAGGGGCAGATGACGGTGATGTCTGCAAGAGAAGACGGAGATGTGAGGTCATTGAGGTGAATCACTCTAGAACACAACATGAGACACATCTTATTATCTGAAGAGAACTCACCTGTGCCTAATCCCTCCATTCCAGGGATATCGTCACCAAAGCTGCAAAGAGAAAATGATTACATTCCCGAATATGTTGTAGTTTATGGACCTCAAAAGAAAAGATATTCCATGCATACCCCTGGATGCCCTTCTTTGGAGGCTTGCTCTTGAACTGACGAGTCTGCCTCTGCTTGAACTTGGGGGGGCCCTTGCGTGGAGTGGCGGGGCCTCCGCTGACTCGGGTGGCTGACTTGATTTCAGCTTTGGGCGCCTCGAGATTCATTTTGAGCTGTTAGGGTTCCTGTGTGCAGGATGTCGGCTTCGATGCGTCTCTGAAGTGTAGACGTGTCGATGAAGATCTTTTCATTGAGAGAACATAAAAGAAAAAACAATGCGTCAACAAATGGAAGTAAAGGACCATTTCCAACGATTTGTTCTCTGTGAATCTTGTTTGTGTGCAACAACATTTCATCTAATTTAAATGTTAGGACCCAGCCTCTGTCACCTCTGTCTGACATTAGGCTTTAATCCTCTCACTGATCTGACAAACACCTGCTGGGATTTACGCTCATATTTCCTGCTCATTGAATGTCTGAGATGGACCACACCTTTCAGCCTGTTCTGTGAGGATGACCCAATTTCCCATAATCCCTGGCTCAAGTTAATAAGAAGTCCCCCTCTCTGTTTCAAGCCACAAGTAATCTCATTAGAGTAAGGACGACAGCCTGTTTGTGCTGAGCACGCACTGAGGGTCTGAATGATCAATCCTCTCATCGTGTCCCGGGACAATGACCGACCTGAACACGTGTGAGCCTCCACTGTGAGCTGAGACAACAGAACGTCTGATACAGCCACCATCACAGCCTGTTACAGATGCTGTGCATTAGAGTTTGTCTTTACGTCAAAGAGCTCAACTACTGATGAGAACGTTTTTCCTTTTCATGTCAAATCAAACTTTATAAAACTTTACAAATGACAGATTTTCTCACAGCGTTCAACGATCGGTACAAAGTGTTTCCGACTTTTGTTTCATAAAGGTTTTATTTCAATGTCAACTCCAAAACTTTGGAGCTAAACTAAAATTAAACATTTCCAATAATCCTCAACTGACGATGAATCAAACCAGACGACTGACAAACGTGACGACAGCTTCAACTGAAAAGACACAAGGACAACAAATACAAATACCACCAGTACAAATACTAAATGTGTTCATACTATAAATATTATATAATTCTATGATGACGGACACATCACATTGTTGTTGCTAAACCTTTTTAACCCCTGATGTTGCTGCTGTGTTGGAATGAATCTCATGTCACGTGCAACACGAGACACTGAGCAGTGACTTCACTTCTCATGGGTCATCACATTATTTTAAACCAAATTAAACAGAAAATGTAAAAAATGGTTCCAAGGCTTTAAAAGTGATGTTTCTCACAACATCCCTGCGATGTCAACGACGGCTACAACCACTACAACATAAACCATCTCAGTAACATCGCTGCTGTTGTCATGGTGACGGTGTGGCAGGTTACTCACCGGCTGTTGGGTGGAGGACGACCACACGAGTGGGTGTGAGCGCAGCAGATGAGTGGAGTTCTACGCTAGGCTCGCTGTGAGGGCCGGTCGAGGCGTGTGACCCCTCTTATATTCTGAGCCCTGCAGAAGATTACGTGCACGCCGCCTCCCGGCTCCCATGTCAACACACGCTTATAAAAAATATCCAGACAATCATCACACAATCATTTACAGGATCTTTTCAGATGTATGGATTCAATTTTCAGGTGGAGTGTAGATTCTAAGATTCGTGATTTTAAAAGTGTATAAATATAAATAATGAATCGATGCAGTATCTGTGATGAAACGATGGATTTAAACGGTTTATTCTGCTGTTCACTTTGTTTTTGCTCCTCAGATCTCTGAAGTGAGAACAACATGAGGTAAAGTGACCTGGAATCTGCAGATATAGATTATAGACGCAGCAGGAAACGACTCTCACCATCTGCTTCAGGCCAAACCCTCAATCAAACATCTCATTAAATCATCTCCCTGTGTTTCTGTGTAACTCCCTTCAGCGAGAGTCTTCTACATTTAACACAGACGGAAATAATCCAACAGCAGGATCAGAAACCTGAGACACAGAATTCAATTCAAAGGTAAAACTCAGAACATCCCACACGTCACAAATCAATTATACTACAGATGTTTTTGCCGTGACATATAGATTGAGGCTTCTAGAGCCTTGAAGTGGATTCTTCACAAACACGTCCATTATATATTGTTATATAGTGAAATATTTACATATTCATAGATTCTGTATTTTCCAACAGGGGAGCTGTGATTAAAATGTGGATTATCATGTAAACATCACATCAGATACAAACTTTAACTGGAAACTATTGACTGAGAGCTCGTCTCCACCAAGTCCAGCTTGTCATGTTTCATTATTAACGAGTTAATGTCCCCACTTTCTGGTCCTGAGACTTTAGGTTGGGAATCAAAGTAAGTGCAACATTAGTGAGTAAATGATTTATCTCATAAAAGAAGCAGTTTTCACATCCAGGTAAAATGTATAAGACACTTCTAAAATCTCTCAACTGCTGGAAACTACAAAATGAATCTGAATAAAAATCCATCACCATAGTTTCATATTTTATCATAAACTTCACTGAATCATTTGAATGTGACAGAATAATACTGAGTCCATTTACTGATGTGTGATCAGACGCTGGGAGAATAATTAGACACTGGCATGACGTGAGGAGACAGTAATCTGTTTTTTCCATCACGTCAGAGCGGCTGTGTCCACGGGTTCTGTTTATGATCCGTGAAAGGCCTCGTTTGTAATCCTCTGAATAACCCAGATCAAAAGAAGAAGTGCCTCCCGTGTAATCAGGACTTCCAGAGAATCACCAGCCGAGTGCTGAGTCAGTGAGAGATCAGGGTCACAAACAGGGAGGCTGCGCTCACCTGCAGACACTGACTGAGAGACGTCATTATCCCTCGACAGGACTGAACGTGTGTTTCTTCTCTGTGCTCGGCAGCAGCCTCCTTCAAATCTCATCTACATCCAATGAAAATCATTATTTTATACGTTTCAAAAGGCAAAACGAACATTCAGAGAGCCAGCTGTCTGAAGACACTGCAGACGGAGCTGGTTGAATCCACATGATGAAGAAATAAACAGATTAAGATCAAGTCTCAATATTTTATAATGAAGAGAGCAGGTAGTTTAATGTGTATCTAGCACCCTCTAGTGGCCTGTTCGTGTGTAGAAGTTACAACAAGGAAAACACTTGTTATAAATAACATTTAATCAAAAATCCTAAAATGAACTTCAAGGATATAATTTAAATTAAATAAAGCCAATGATCTATTTACATAAGATGCATATAAATGTACTTTACACACTTCAACACTTCAGTTCAAACATTAAAACAGATCATGTGCTTCACGACCAAAGGAACTTGACAGTGAATTCTCCAGATTCATGAATCAGAGTCTAATGGAAATAAACAGGATTTTATCATGAGACACTAAAGACACTTAGAGAACACACACTCTACAAATCACTCACGTCCACTAACGACTCTGGTACGACAGGTTGTTTGTTGTTGTTGCTTCTCAAACTGAAATGTATGATTAAATCAGCAATAATAAATAAAGTTTAAATGAAGCTTTGAGGCTTCGGTTGATTTGTGCAGCAAATTAAACTGTAAAAAAAAACCTTCCTTCTACATTATTATCTAGAGCCAGATCTAGTTTCCCCTTTCGCCTGCGGACCTGGTGACTCGCGTCTGAAACGTTCTGCAGATACGACCAAACCGATCTAAAAGTGAATAAGTGGAGGTAAAATAATGTGTTGCTTCTCTAGTTCTGTCAACACGGGCAGTAAAAACTTCCGTCACGTCTTCTTCAGGAGTCTAATCTCCATCTTTAGGTAAGTCTTAAGGTTCTCATCCAGGACGTTCTCCTCGATGGCGGCGAGCGCCCGGTCGCCTCCGTCCTGGTAGTACGCCAGCAGCTGCTCGGCGTGTTCGATCCACACACAGTTATGACAGCCGCTCATGCAGCAGTGTGTGGGGGCAGGCGGTGGACCCTGGTCAGGAGACCAAGCAGGGGGACTGTGGCTGGGTCCTGGTTCAGGGGAGCACTCGGGGGAGTCAGGAGGTGAGGGTGGAGGAGGTGAGGGCGGAGGAGGTGGTCCAGCAGAGAGGCAGCGAACCGTCCTGGTCCACGTCTGCTGAGAGCAAGGAGGCCTCATGTGTAGCAGAGAGAGGACGCACAGCTGAGAAACACGAGAACGTGATGTTAACAGGTTTTTATTCGTTTGATCTGTTTCTACACAGGTGGGATCTGAGAGGAGGAGCTACAGAGACATGAAGACCAGCAGGTTACTGGAAGGGACAGCTCTGATGTCTCTGGTGTGTCCCTCATCAGTAGGAAGGACTCTCTCTGAGCTCAGTGTGATTACACTTCTCTCAAAGTCCTGAACAAACTTTAACAACATGAGAGACACGTCTGTAGAGATTCTCAGTTATTCAGGTCAAAGTAACTCAGATAACTACGAAGGATTCAAACTGGGGCTTTAATGAAGTAATTAAGGACTTGATGTGATTAACTTAAAATAATAAACTTGAATACATTAGAGAAAGATCTTTTCTCAAGGACACTGAAGTTTGGCCCAAATCTTCACTAGTTATCCATCTGAATATCTTTCAAGAAGCATCTATCTATCTATCTATCTATCTATCTATCTATCTATCTATCTATCTATCTATCTATCTATCTATTTATCAATCTATGCATCTATCTGTCTATCTATCCATTTATCTATCTATTTTTCCATCCATCCATCTGATAGAGTCGCTTTCAACAAAAATTAAGTAAAACGCTTCTTAAATTCGGAGTTAAAGTAAAAGTCAGTACAAAGTTGATGAGTAATAAATAAGAACAAACTAAACTAAAGCTCAGCTGCACAGTTTTCATGGAGCAGCGGTCACGTTAGCATCAGATCAAACCACAGAAGAAGAAGAAGTTTCATCTTCTTCTTCTTCTGTTGTTGAAGAAACAACACGACGTGTTTCCGGTTGTTTCGCCGACAAATCAAATAAATATGAAGTTTATTAAGTTTCAGCTCAAAGAGGATTTAGCTGTGGAGCATGTAAGCTAGTTAGCTTAGTTAGCTCGAGTAGCGTTAGCATGAGTAGCGTTAGCTCACCTTGGGAACAGACAGCGTCCTCGCCGTGTTTAGCATCGTCACAGGAAACAGGAAGTCCGGTTATGCGTCTGTGTTCTTAACATGTTGTTGACATGTTGTTAGCATGTTGTTAGCATGATGTTTAACGTGTCCAGATGTGAGCACCACAGCTGTAAGTGAAGAAATACGTCACCTCCACGTTCTCCTGAACTATGACGTCAGTGTGAGCCGTCAACAAACAAGCTGATTGGCCGACAGGAAAGAAAACGACCAATCAAATGGCTCCGTTTCTACATTTGACCAATAGAAAAGCGTGGAACGGTTTGTGGGCGTTGCAGGACAGACTGGCTGCATTTACGATGTTTGCCCAGCAGGGGTCAATGTTTCATCTGAATCAGCAGCAGAGGAACGAGAAACAGTTTTATTTTAAAAATAAACTGAAACCACATGTTTTATATATATTTAGATAATAATACATATATGTATTATATTACATACGTTACTTATATATGTATGTTTCAACAACAACATGTGTTTATATTAAATCATATATAAATAAATAATAAACTTCATATTTATATGTTGCAGATGATGAAGGGGCGGAGCTCATCATGGATAAATGTGTTTTACTTTATATTGAGGTTTTTTTAAGAATTTCATTTCATTCATCATCTCTTGTTGTTTTTCAGCTGAACATGAACATTTGAATCTGATGATGACGTCGACTTCACCGACTCTTGGAATGACGTGATGTTCCAGTTCTGTTTCACGTTGTACACGATGCGAGCTACTCACTGATCCGTGTGTCTGTGTTCAGTGTGTGGGAGAGTGTGACTCCGAGCTCCCCACAGACCTCACTGTTTGCAGTCCTGCTCCATGGAAACGTGGCGTGGAAACCCTGCAGCTGCTCGGGCCTGGCAGCAGATACCAGGCGTGTGGTGGCACATGTTATCTCACCAGAGGCCCCAGCTCGCAATGTGACTGTGTCCCGACGAGAGTCTCATCGCCTCAGAGACCCAGAGCCGTTTAAAGGCTGCTGATATTACTGTGAAGGATTCAGAGCGAATGATCTGAAAAGAAAAACAGATGAATAGACTGTAGCTGTTCGAACAGGAAGTAGAATGAACACACGAGTCTGTGATTCAGTGTTAGTTTCATGATCCTGGTTCTATTATTATTATTATTATTAGATCATGAACGATGATAACGTTTGTGTGATCGGAGGCTTGGAGAGGGGGATGATTGATGGACACATGGATGGATGGTTTCAGCTCACACTCTTTTAGTTATGTCAGGTATGTGAACATGGAGGAGGCGGAGATCCCTGTTTCGACACCCCCCCTTCCCTCCACCCACATCCCTGCTGCTGGATTACATTTCTCTCAACACCCGTTCCCTTGAAAATCCTGGGGGCCCCTGCTTTACCTCCGGCAGGCATTTCCTGAGGGGCCCTTCACTTGCAGATTTGGGGGGAGAGTCAGATTAAAGCAAGCACATGATAAATACTTGAAAAAAAGAAGCTCAGGGGAGCGAGACTATTTCTGATCGAGCTCGAAACATTTCACATGACCCAGTGGTTCTCAAAGGGAGGTCTGGGGACCCACTGGGGTCCCTGAGGGAACTCCTGGAGGCCTCGTAACGATGAGTTCAATGTCCCAACATTATTTTTCTTCTATGTATGTGACGTCAAAGGCTTCAGAGAGCGTGAATCTTCAAAACATATAATGAGTACATGACTTCTCTTGAAATGGAAACTTTGGCCCGATACAAACGGCTTCGCTGTGGCTGCAGGCGTTCTGCAGGAGGGATTAGCTTCATCACTGATAATCCTGCTGAAACCCAGCGTGCACAAAAGGCCTGGCAGCTTTTCTAACAACTTGTTGCACATTCTTCAACGCTGCATTGTCCCGCGGTGAACGGGGGACGTTTTTCCAGGAATTCAACCCAAACAAAGATGATAAAAAAGAAGAATTTTAGAAATGCATGGACGTAAAATTATCAAATCAGAAAATATTCTTCTGTCACAGGGATGTGAATTCCCTCACATCCCACAAAACAGAGAAAACTAAAAAGGTTTCACTCTTTTCCTGCATCTTCTTTATTTGCTGAAATGCACCAACAGCAACTTCTCTCATAACTGCACTGTTTTCTTTTAATTGTGAATCGGAGGATGAGCTCAGAATGTGACAGTCTGGGGTAAAAAGGTAGCAGGGAGGTGTTTTGCTGCTCAGGTGTCCTTCCTCAAGGTCCTGCAGCCGGACTCACAGCACCAGCTTTGTCCTGAGCGCACAAAGACCTCGCTGTTCAGTTACAGCCGAGCGCGGCCACTGCCCTGAAACGACAAGTCAACAGCACAACTCAGATGGCGACTTGTCAGAATTGGCAGAGACATGTTTGCGTACATGTCAGGAGGCTGCAGCAGGAGAGAGAGACGCAGTTCACACGTCAAATTAATATCTTCAGATAATGCGTCATCGTAGTTTCACACATTATGAATCAGTAGCAAAGACAAAGGGACCCGTGCATATTCAAACCAGATTCATATGTTTAATTTGTATTTAGTATAAATTTATATCCTCACAGTCTTGGTGTCGGATCATTCTCACGAGTTTCATAACAGAGGATTTTCCCCGAGAACAAGTCATCAGACGAAAGGATTAAATAAGTGCACACAGGGAACTGTTCCAGGACAAAGTACACACGCTGTTCAGTACTTTTCAACCAGGACAGTGAAGATCCGGTTCAGAGGGTTAACAGAAAAATGAGTTAAACGCTCGTGAAGGTTTAACGACTGCGTCGGGAACCTCGACCCACGTATCTGATCTTTTCACAGTGAAAGAGATTTGTTCATCCTCGTGAAACTAACGATGCTGGAAACAGGACGATGTGCGAACACGTCATCCAGGACGTCAACACACGAGATGTCTCCAAACAAAACTCAGACTTCTTTAAATCCTCTCAGAGGTCAACGAGGTCACGACGACCTGATGTTTTCGAATGAAACATCATGAATGAATTTCTTCTTGGTCAGTGGTGGAGAAGGTACTCAAGCATCTGAGTTATGTAAAAGTACAAATAAATATAGAAATAAATATATAGTAGAGTACTCAAGTCAGAGTATTGCATCAATCCCCCTCCCCTCCCCCTCCTTCCAAACATGAAGAAGAACCTGTGGCAGCTTCAGTCGTCATAAAAACTCAAAAGGTTTTAGTTTGTTCAGTCTGGACTCATGTAGAAAACATGGCGGCCTCCGTAGAGAGGGTCCCCTCCATGTAAATATAAAGTATTTAAATATAAAGTATTTAAATATAAAGTATTTAAATATAAAGTCTTTAAATATAAAGTATTTAAATATAAAGTAGGATAAAGGATCCTCTGACCCTGAATGCAGCTCAGGCCGAGCTGCTGGTCAATCATTCCTCAGCTGGGGGCCCCATGAGGGTCTGAGCTGAGTCACTGAGGGACCTGAATGCTCAGCGTGTTCCTCTGACCAATCAGAGGCCCTGGATGTTCACACCTCAGCCGCTCCGTCCAGCAGCAGAAAACGTAAAGCTGTTACTGAACAACTGGAAACACAGAGTGGGTTTAACTGAGAGGGGGGG